TACATTTACAAGGGCTCTGTGTGGGACCTACTTCATTGTAAACTCTGATGTTTCTAGGATTTCCCCTATGTCATTGAGCTCTGGCATGGGCCATGTAAGGGATCCCATTTCATCCTCTCCCCCCTCCCCCCCCGGAATAATGTCATTGTTAATATACGGGGGGGGGGTTAATTTGTCAGCTTCGTGCTCCAGAAGGGAGGGGGGGGGATTTCCTGCCTGAGGAGTGAGTTTGGGAGGCTTAGCTCCACCTTTCTGTCTCCTATGCTGTGAGGGAATTTCCACCGAGCATTTTTTGCTTCTCGCCCGCTGTGTGGGGTATGGGGGCCCTTTTGTATAGAATCCATGGACTGTATTGAATTCAAGGCAGTGATCAGGTCATAGGAGGGAAGGACCTTTAGTGAATCATGGCCAAATCATGACCTCTCCCAGTAGCGTTCTAAAAAAGCAGCTGGTAGAGTAATGAAAAGGCAAGAAAGCAGTCTATCTCCCCCGCCCCCACCGTGACTACAGCATTGATTCAAGGTGGAATCTGTGTAGGGTGCAGAGTTTTTAGCTTCCAGCGGTGGATACCTCTAGTAATGTCTCAAGACAGGATTCAGCAGCAAGGGAACCTTTGTTACCATGCGGGAATCATCAGAGTGGAGAGTTTGCTGGCTTTTGCAGCTGTCCAGTACTCGAGGGTGGACAAAGGAGTGGGTGGTCAGTGCGGCAGAAGAGGAGTTTGGCCGGCTGGGCGATTGTCGTGAAATGTCGGCTCAATATGCATTATTAATAACACAAGTTTTCCCAGAATGCGGTGGCTTGTTGTCGAAACAAGGCGGAGCAATAATAGCCCTGTAGCTGGGGAAATTTTGGGTGGAGAGGCGTTGGGCCTCCGAGGTGGTGACTCCACTTGTGATGTCACCCGGAAGTGACTCTCCTTCTCTCTCTCCATTCGTGGAGGAGCACGCTGGGAACGGAGAGGGGGAAGGAGAGCCCAGCCGCCACCCTGCTGCTGAGGGAGAGCTGAGGTGGGCTATTCTCTACACCACGTGTGGCAGGGAGGCAAGCCAGTGGTGCTGCTCACTCCTCTTACTATTGAGGGGTAAGAGGAGAAGAACCCCTAACTTGCCTCCGCCACCACATGAGTCATAGAGAACAGCCCACCTCGGCATCTCACTGCACCTGTGCCTCACTGCTCCTCACCGGCTCTTCCTGCTGCTTCCTGCTGCGGCTGACCCGGAAACAACAGGAAGAGCCAACAAGGCCACGGCGGGCAGAATAAGGAGCACGGTGCACTGTGGGTGGGGGAGTGTCTGACATCTTCCCTGGGGGTGTGGGGCTTATCCATGGGGGGCACCACCCCCAAATGCCCCCTTGTGATTACGGGCCTGAGCAGTAACATACCGTGGTGGTTGTCAGTGAGTGAGGAAGTCACTACTTCGAATCTTGCCTGGAACATGAACCTTGGGCAAACCCCTCTCAGCCCTCCTGTTTGCAGAATACTGGCCCTCCCTTACAGGGCTGTGGCTTGGATCACTGGGAGTGTTTCTACGTGTGCCGCACTGAACACCAATTTATTGTATAAATGATACACATCAACTTTGCTTTTCGCATAACCGTGGCATCTTATTTGGGAGTACTTCATAGCCCCAGGGGCACATCTTTTGCTGTAATTTGGAAGGCAGCAGCTCTATTATTGGGTCCTCCTTAAGACATAGTTACTGATGTCCCGGTGCACAGTATCCCCAATGAACAGTCAATTTAGTTTAAATGATTTTCTCTCTGTAGATGAAGAATTTCCCAGGGTAATAGTAGAAAACAGTAGAAAAGAGCAAGAGTCCAGCAGCACCTTAAAAGACTGACAAAATAGAAGCTTTCGTGAGTCACTGCTCACTTCTTCACATAGCTGAAGTGAGCAGTGACTCAGTCTTTTCTACCGCTACAGTCAGACTAACACAGCTACCCATCCTGATCTATTCCCAGGGTTATGTGTGTCTAGGTCTTCCTTACATGGTAACAAGTCACACTTACCTTGAAAACCCTAGCTAGAAAAGACCTTTTAAGTGTAAGGATGTGTCAGTGGTGATCAAGACTGAGTTACTTCATGCCATAGCATGCCCCATTACTATGTAAGGGTATGAAAGTTGGACCGTGAAGATAGCCGACAGGGGGGGAAATGTTGATGGACTTGAAATGTGGTGTTGGAGAAGTGTTTTACGGATACCGCAGAGTGCCAAAAAGGTAAACGAGTGGGTTCTAGATCAGATCAAGCCTCAACTCTCCCTAGAAGCTAAAACAACCAAACTGAGACTATCTTACTTTAGTCACATTGTGAGAAGACAGGAGTTGTTGGAAAAGACAGTCACGCTAGGACCAGTTGAAGGGAGCAGGAAAAAAGAAAGACCCAACATGTGGTGTGTTGACTTCATCAAGGAAGCTAAGGCCCTCAGTTTGTAAGATCAGAGAATAGCTGTTAACAATAGGACATTCTGGAGGACTTTAATTTGTAGGGTTGCTGTAAGGCGGAAGCAACTTGATGGCACTTAACGAGGGGTGTGCAAAAAAAAAAATTTGGCCCGATTCGGATTCGGCGGAATCTGGCAGAATCAATATCAGCTGGCAGAAAGACTCCTGCATGTCAGTTTCGGCAGTGCAAGGGATTGGGGAGTCTTTGGCCAGCCCAATGTCAATTTCAGCCCCATTATCTCCTATGGGCCATTGAAGTCAATGGCAAAAACATGGTATATTCTGGGGGCTGGAGGTGAGGGGGTGTTTGAGGGAGAGGCTCCAAACTCGCAGGGTAGCTGCTGGAGCCTCTTCCCAAGACACCTACCAAGTTTCAAGAACATTAGACCAGGGGGTTCAATTCTATGGGCCCCCAAACAGGTTGCCCCTTCCCCTCCATTGTTTTCTATGGTGGGAAAGAAAGTTACTTTTCCCCCCACCACAGAGAACAATGGAGGGGATGGGGGCAATCTGTTTGGGGGCCCGTAGAATTGGACCCCCACATTCAAGCAGATTGAGATCTCATTCAAGCAGATTGACTTCTTCATGCAAATAACGTCTATAAATCACCATCGTTATCAGTAGAGTTCCTCCTCAGATACTTGGCAGCTTGGAGAAGTCTTTCTGCGAGTCCATTCGACGGGGTAGAGTTTGGGCTAGATGTGGTGTGAAAATCTGGCAGACTTCCTGAATTCTACACAGGAAAAATAGTCACTGAAGATTTCCTCTGGAATACTGTGTCATGCAGATATATTTTTCAGGCTGGCAGTTGCTGATTTGCTCGTGGTTCACTAAAGTCTCTGCAGAGGTGCTGCTGTTGTGGAAAATTAGGAGTAAATTTTTCAAGATAATTCACCGTTCCCCAAAACTGCTGAATTTATTTCTTGAGCTGCAGCCCCGGCATCAAGTCTGCAGGCAGCATTTTTACCTAGTTTCGTTCTTTCGACACAAATGATGTCTCCTGAAAACATCACTTGAGTAACACCAAGAACACCTGTTTCCCCCCTGTTCAGTTTTAGGTTGGCAGCTCTTATAGCATTTAGAACTTCCTGAAGTCACCGATCATGCTATTCTTTAGTACAACAATGAGCAAGAGCTTTTGCGTAGCCTTTCTGTAGCTGACAGCACAAACACAGCTTTCCAGGGCCGAGAGATTTGTTCCGATGTAACCAGCAGTTCTTAATTTTTGTTTTCCCCAGCTTCAGCATTTCTGGCAAATGTTTATAATGCTATTTCGGATAATACTTGGCTTGAATACTCATGTCCAGTTTAAAAGGGTAAATGCCTCATTCACCTCTGCAGGCTTTGTCTAGGGGTAAATCTGCCTCACATTGCAAACGTTAGCTTGAGGACATTATCTGTGATGATTCTGACCTTTATCAAAGATTCTTTCAGGTCACCCAAAGCCACGTTTTCTTCCTAAACTGCCTTAATTCTGTAAGAATAATAACTGATGGTTCGATCTGCTTTTTGCATGTATGTAGAAAATGTGTTTCTTTCAGAGGTTTCATTGTTCTTAGGTTTCCTTGCTTTCTGTGGTTGTGACACTCACAGCTCCCCTGTTTTCCAGTTCAGGCAAGGAAATGACTTTCAGCTTAATCTAATATATTCCCAGTTTTCCACTTCTGACACCATACCATTTCTGAGTCAACAGGCAGCCTACCAGAGTGAGGAATGGCTTTCAACTACTTTAATACAAACAGCAACTAAAACATACTATACAGCTGTCTCTAAGCCTTATTCTAGAACGGTCTATGGCCATGTGATTTTAGGGTGAGCCCACAAATTACCCATCCCTTAACACTGTAAAGTGTTATGGGAATGAGTCTGAATGGTAAATTGTGTCATTACGTGCAGGGTAGCTTGCACAAGCCATTCCCCCTGCCCCACGTGCTGCAAGGTCACTTTGCCCCTGCCTGAGCCAGCACTTCGCAAATAAATAATAAGCATTTTTGCCCCTTTGATAAAAAACAGAAGAACATCAGAATCAGCACAACAGAAGCAACATGGTGGATTAATCCTCTGGCAGTGGGCCTTTCATTTCCTCTGTCACCCTCTTTACCTGCTCTCACTAAACCCAGGCGTGGATGGGTTTTGAGTTGGGTGTTCTTTACTGGCTTAATGCCAGGTGGAATTATCACGATGTTTGAATATGGTTAGGGAGACCTATGCGAATTCAGACCTGTACTTCGCCACGAAGCTTGCTGGGTGAGTTCGGGCCAGTCTGTCTGAAACTAACCTGCCTTGTGGGGTTGTTGTGTTGAAGGATAAAATTGGGGGGGGGACATATAGTGCTGACCTGAGGTCTTGGGAGGGAGGGTGAGAGAAAATACAATGACTAATACACTTGATGTTTGGAACAAGTGGGGTGAAAGAATTCTCCCGTTCTCTCTATATGTATCGAGCAACAAATAAGGCTGCAGTTAGTGTTCCACGGTGGCAAGGAGGCAGGCGTTTATCTGCTGAGGAAGCCACGGTGCTGCTAACCCACGAAGGTAGCGATTTGTCTAGCGATGGCAGCGCATCTGTATGGCGATCAAGGAGGCAAGTTTTTCCGTGGGAAAAAAGAAGTCATCAAAGGGGGAAGATCATCTCCTTGAGGGTGGTTAATCTAGCCCTGAAGAAGATGGGTTGGTGCCCAACAGCACAGTCATGGTTATCATCGCAAAACATCCAAATAGTACATGGACTTGCTGGACCAGCACGTCCTTTTTGGGTCTGAAGGGGACTCAGTTTGGTTTACGGTGTGCCTCAGAGGCCTACAGCAGTGCTGTTGCTGTCCACTGGTGTGGAGGGCAAAGAAGCTTGACATCCTCCTTGATTATAGCAAAGGTGGTAACTTCGAATAGCTCCGATCACTCAATCGAGGTGAGAGCCCGGAGGTGTAGAACAAAGAGTTGACGGATGACCCTGACTGCCAGCAAGCTTGATGCTACTGCTGTTGCCAGTTGGATTGTTTGACCAGGCCACGGTCCTTCCTGGACCCCACAACACAAACCGTAGAAACTGGTTTCCCAGAAAGTGGAATGATTTCTGGCAGCCGTTCAGATTAGTGTCGTTCAAACTTACGTTTAGGAGGGTGTGTGTGACTTACTGGATTGCTTTTCCCCCTCACTCAAGGCGTATATATGAATATCCCTTATATAGAGTCAGACCTCTAGTCTGTCCGCTAGCATTTACTTTGACTGGTTGGGGCCTTGAGAGAGAAAACACCTTCCCTCAAACCTGCCACTGTAGATGCTGTGGATTTAACTTGGGCCTTTCTGCACGGTAAACTTTTGATCTACGACTGAGTCATTTGCGGCCAATCCACTTAGGTGGGCAGGTCTCCCAGTTGTATCTTCTACATGTCCCTGACTGTTTCTTCTCCCTGCAGAATTGGTGCAAATTGATTCATTCTTTTTCTCCCTCTCTCTCTTTGTTTCCCAGTTGCAGCTGCAGAAAACACAGTATTTACAGTTGGGGCAGAGTCGTGGCCAGTACTATGGAGGGTCGCTGCCCAATGTCAATCAGATTGGGAGCAGCGCTATGGACCTACCTTTCCAGGTGAGGCTTGCCTGCTTTTTGCTTCCTGTTTGTCTGGCTTATACGTTCTGATTTTTTAAAAAAGTTACAAACTCTATAGATCAAGAGCGGCTTTAGTCCTTTCAAATTCTGTAAATGGTTTAATGATACAGGTAATGTGTATTTAAATCTACTTTGCGTGTAATTGTGCTTTTTAAAAATTGCATTGCATCAATGCAGAGGGGCAAGAAGCTGTGCATGGCACACACTGCCACTTGTAGGAAATTTCTCTCTTTTCTAGGCTGGACTGCTTGCAAATGTTGTCTGTGTGGGGCTGCCCTTGGAAACAATCCAGAAAGTTCAGCTGTCCCAAATCCGGTGGCCTGCATTTCGATAGGGAGTAGTCAGCTTCATCATGTGATGTGACCATAAAGACAACTAACTTCCTGTCTGTCTCCAGCTTCAGTTCAGTGCTTATCTTTAAAGCCTTTCACAGCTAGGCACTCACATACTTGAAGGATTGCCTCGCATGCTGACTCCACTTGACCCGTTTCAATATCTGCGAAGGGTGCCCTTACTCAGAGAGGCGCGCCTGACTACGGTCTGCTCTCTTGCCCGCCACTCTGATGGAACAAACGCTTTGGAGGTCTGGTTGGCTTTTTGGAGAGCCATGGAAACTTTTCTGTTTCAGAAGGCATTTGTCTCGCTGTAGGTTAGATTTGTTTCCTTTTTTAAAAAGGAGTCACCTGGTCTATTGCTGATAGGGTTTTTTGTTTTAATATGTTTAATATGGTGTTTTAGTTTATTACTATTAGTCGCCTTGGGGTTTGTAAGGAAAAGGAGGTTAGAAGTATTTCAAAACAAGTAAATGTTACTTCTTTGTGGTGTCTGTGCATCACGCTGATGGGGTTTGTGCCGGTTCAGAACTTTCTCGAGCTACAAAATAGGTGCGGAACACCACCACCACCCTCGGAACATGGTGGCGAACTGGGCACCCTCTAGGGAGAGAAGTCGCACCGTACTGTTCAGTTCCTTTTCGTCTGCTGCAGCGCAGACATCGGTTTGGAACTTCTGCAGTGTTCCCCCCCCCACCTTTCCTCAGACCTACTCATAGTCTTCAGAGTTTTTCTGTCAGAGCCTCGGTGTCCTCTCGAGGCTCCACCTTCTTCTCCTGTTTCACTTCATGGCTAAGACAGCATCTGTCAAATACTGCTGTGTGTATCGGGGAACTCCCACCCACAGATGGGCATGATTCACTGTCCCTTGTGCTTTGGCAAAGCCTGTAACTCAGAGACAGCACTGCTTAAATTTGACTTGTCAAGCAGGAAAAAGCCGGCAGTCCTGATTGCGTCTTCTCCTTCGGGAACAGGGTCTCTCGCTGTTGAAGGCGATGATAGAGCCCTCCTGGTTATCAAAAGCATCAACTGCTCCTGCAGCCAATATGACATCAGCCACTCCCATTCTAGTGGTATCAGAGTCATCAAAGGGACTGTTGATCCTTAAAAAGATGAGGAGGAAGGGTGAATCTTCACCATTGGACCACGAGTTCTAGACCCAGGGCTATTTTTGGGCAGGAACGCACAGGAACGGAGTTCCGGCTGGTTCCTGAGTTGGCCACGCCCAGCAGGAACTCGTTAGCATAATACGCCACACCCAAGAGCAGAAACTCATTAGGATTGGCTACATTAGGGGTGTGTGGCCTAACATGCAAAGGAGTTCCTGCTACCAAAAAAGCTCTGGGTTTTGACAACAAACAAGGTAAACAGAATAAGAAGCAAAAGGTGCATGTGGCTGGATGAACACACTTCTGGTAACACGGGGGGTGGCCTAATATGCTAATGAGTGTCTGCTGTTGGGTGTGGCCTATTATCCTAATGAGTTCCTGCTGGACTTTTTCTGCAAAGAAAGCCCTGTCTAGACCCATACTGAAGAAAGATCAAGATGGGTAGCCGCGTTAGACTGTCTGTAGCAGTAGAAAAGAGCAAGAGTCCAGTAGCACCTTAAAGACTAACAAAATTTGTGGCAGGGTCTGAGCTTTTGTGAGTCACTTCAGAAGAAGTAAGCACTGATTCACGAAAGCTCAAACCCCACCGTAAATTTTGTTAAGTCTTTAAGGTGCTACTGGACTCTTGCTCTTTTCTATTCATAAGAAGATTTTTCTCTTCCAATACAAGTTATGCCTTCTCCTTCACCAGTACCTTGGATTTGTCCAGTGAACCACTCCCGCTTCTCATATTCGAACCAACCTTGGAGACTATCCGGTGTTCGATCTCGAAGGGTCCTTTGGTGCCTAGGGAGGTTTCACCTTAATGCACCTCCCTTTTGGAAAGGCACACTGAACACACTTTCCTACACCAGTGGGGAGTACCCAGTTCCCCACATTTTTACACCCTTCCACATAGCAGGGAGTGCATGACTATTGAATCACTCTGTAGACTGCGATCTCCACATCATCAATATCTGAGGAGGTCTAGGAGCCCTCAATATTGTGAAGCTCTGCTTACTAGAGACCAAGTCTATGCTCCCCCTCGGTACAGAGAGCCAGCTAGGTACCAAGAATTCTCTACTACCAGCATTGTTATAGGCACTGTGCCTTGAGGGCAAGTTCGAGGGCATATTTGGTGGATACTCACTATAGGTCCCTCTCGCCATGCTACAGGAAATGCTGATGGTCCCCAGCTTATTACTCTGCTTGAGGTCAAGAGTGATGTTCCCTTTCTAGGCTAGCCTCTGCGCATTGTTCTCCACTCAGCCTTAAACCAGTGGCTACAAGCTGCGGTGGCTCAAGTGGTTAAGACGCTGAACTGCAGGCTGTGGAAGGTTGGCAGTTCAGCAGTTCGAGACCCGAGTGTGCCGCATGACAGAGTGAGCTCCCGTCTCTAGTTCCAGCTCCTGCCAACCTAGCAGTTCGAAAGCAAGAAATTGCAAGTAGATAAATAGGTACCACTTCAGTGGGAAGGTAACAGCGTTCCGTGCGCCGTGGTGTTTAGTCATGCCGGCCACATGACCACGGAAACGTCTTCGGACAGCGCTGGCTCTTCGGCTTTGAAACGGGGATGAGCACCGCAACCCTAGAGTCGGATTCGACTTGGCTTTCGGGCAAGGGAACCTTTACCTTTACCTTACAATCTCTAAAGCTCTAGACCCTGTTTTCCTCCATTCCCACCAATGGTGGTCAGACCTCCAATTCTGATTGAAAGTGGAGCTTCTATCACCACAGCATTGGCACCGAGTCAGCCCCTTCCACCTATAACCCTTATCCTATCATCTGCTACTGTGGCTCTGTTGACACTGGCTCCAACTTTTGGAGCTTCACTTATGATACTAGCTTCACTTGGTCCATCCTTCGGAGTTGCTCTTATAGTATTGACCACATTTGGAACCAAGTGATCTGGGACCTTTACCCACAGAACCTCAGCATACAACTCCTGTTGCAATTGTATTTTTTCCACTGGTATCGTCCCGTTTATTTAACCCATCCAACACAATTGGAGACCCCCCCCCCCCCCCCCCCCCCCGAATTCCTCTATGACTGTCATTACTTGTCTTCATCTGAGGACAGTTGTCTGTATGGTGAGATTTTGATTGGCGGCAGCACTGGCCTTTGAGGTCACACAACAACCTGCCAAGGAACCAGAGGAAAACCCTGGAGCCTCTGCATTCCTTGGGTGGGTGGGGGTCTCTCCTATTTTTTAGCTCTAGAATCTTCCTAATTAAAGCTCTATGCAGGTACAAAGCCATCATCAGCGTGAATACGCAGATGGCCACTTGAAGAACAACCATTTGATAAGGTAGGGGAATATAGAGGTGTGGTTTAGGAAATTATGGAGCCATTACTTAATGGACGCAGGCACAAATAAATTAAATTACCTATCTCAGAGACCGACTTGAACAACCTTTACAGACAAATGGTTCCCAGTTCTTGACTACCTATCCCAACAACAATTTATCGCTTCTGAATGGACCCAATATCACAAATGGATTTAAGGACAAAATGTTTGTACTACAGAAGTAATGATTTCTTAATAATTAGGAATGCTTCCCCTTTCAGTTCTCTTTTACTTTATCTGTTTTCTTATTTTTATTTTAGTTTCTGAAAAATGTTTTATTTCACATAAGATTGGTTTAGAACATGTAGATATACTGTTGATTGTTCTATCAGTTGAATAGACACAAATTCCTATCAATACTATGAATTTCGACAAGTAATAATATTATAAGTACAATTGATGCAATGATATAGTTTACTCAATGTGTTATATTCCCTTTTTAAACAGTTATGTAACCAATTGTGGTATTTACAAAACCAATTATATATATAAGCAACTCGTTTTCCCTCTGACTTCAGCAGGCCCTGCCCCATGCAATTTAAACTATGTCATTGTAATGAGGACTCGAAACTTGCTTCTTAAAAGCACCCTGAGAGTCTCACAAAGCCAGATTCTGCACCCAGTATCCTTTTGGACTTTCTGCACCGCCCCGAGCCTGAGTGTCACAATTGTCTCGGATTCTGTGAGTCTCCATCTGAAGATAGGAAGCCACCCCACCCTGACGCTGGCTGTTGGGTCAATTGTTCTGTTTATTTACTTCTTCCCTTGTTTTCCTGCCCAAGGGGAACTCAGAGCAGAAAAGGAATGACAATTTACATAAACAGACACATCCAAAGAAACACGACCACTCCAAATCTCGGGTGGATCCTGAATCCACTAGCCCATCTCCCTTGAGGGCCTCTCACCAAGATTCGAGGGCCCTTTGGCTCGTGGTAAAAGCCACTTGTGCTTCTGGCCATGCCCAGGTAAGTATCTGCAGCACCACAGAGTCAGCCCAGATTTCCTTAAGATCTTCGATGTGGTCTCTGTGCTTCACACCCATGGGATCTAGTGCGCACGCACTGGATCGATCGGTGCTGTAGCAAACTCTTTTAACGGATTTTCGCGCCCAGTCCCTCGGGCAATCGCAGGAACCCCACCATGCATGCCCAGAGGGGTGGGCACAGACATCCCGCCAGTTCCTTTCTTACCGCCGCGTTGAGTAGACCTATTTTTCGTCGGTCAGATCGGTTTGCTTTCGGCTTTCGCCTCACAGCTCTTAGGAATTATTTCCTTATTTTAATTTTCCTCTCTTTTCTCTTTTTATTTGTTCTTCAAAAAAACTTAAAAACAAACCATTTTCTGCTGAGGGGGAGTCTACCGACTATCTCGGGCCTTTGGGCTATCCCCCCCCCCTTCAAACGTTCCCTTTTCTTCACTTTCTTTTATGGAGAAGAAGTGGGTTTTTCTCAATAGGTGCAAGGGTTGCGGCAGCAAACTTGCTCCTCCCGACCATCATACCCTATGCATTTTTTGTTTCGGAGAGTCTCACCGACCAGAGTCCTGTTGCCACTGTGCTTGTTCTTCTAATCAAATGCGGAAAAACCGAGCTGCGCGCCTTACAGTAGCGCTGCTAGAATCGGCCCTTACTCCTACCTCAGCGATGGAGGAGAGACCATCAACACCGACAGCTCCAGCATCGAAACCTGCCTCCGATGCCGACCAATGCTCCCTCTAAGCTATGGAGTCCTGTGAGCAAAAATGCTACTTTGTGAGCTACTGGCATTAATGTTGTGTAAGTGAGCAATTTGGCTACTGCATAAATTAGTTTGTTCTGGAGCCATCATTCCTGAGCCAAGACAAAAATGTGTGAGCCGGAGGCTAAGAAACTGTGAGCTAGCTCACACTAACTCAGCTTAGAGGGAACACTGATGCCGACCACCCGACACCGAAGCTCCTGGCATCGATGGCGCAATCTTCCGCTTCCACGCCAATCAAAAAGAAGGCCAAGGCAAGTAAGGATCACAAGTCCGTGAAGAAGGGCACCTCAAAGTCCCTTAAGGCGGCGAAGAAGGGGAAGGAAGCGGTGCCTGCACTGGGTGATGCCCCTAAAGTGCCTCCCGTTCCAACGGCAGTATCGATATCGGAGACCCAAATTCCTCCACCGATACCGACCATCCAACTATTGGATTCCCCCATTCAACAAGTGGAGCGTCCTTACTCCGACATCGAGACGGTAGAGCTCCTAAGTCACCAGATGGGTGCTGAGCCTTCTCCCTCTCCTTCTACTTCGTCGGCATCGATGATATCGGAGGGGGGTTCCTGCGCATGCCCAAAGGACTGGGCACGAAAATCCGTTAAAAGAGCTTGCTACAGCACCGATCGATCCAGCGTGTGCGCACTAGATCCCATGGGTGTGAATGCACAGATGACCACTCGAAGATCATCAGTTACAGGTAAGCAACCTGTTTTTCCATATTCTCAGAATGGCAAAATGATATCTAACGAAATGATATTTAAAATCAACATTGTTATTGTTCAGTCGCACAGTCGAGTCCGACTCTTCGTGACCCCATGGACCAGATCATGCCAGGACTTCCTATCTTCCGCCTTCCTCTGAAGTTGGCTGAACTTCATGTTCGTTGCATCTATGACACTGTCTAACCATCTCATCCTTTGCCGTCCCCGTCTTCTTTGACCTTTAATCTTTCCCAGCATCAGGGGGAAAGCACTCCAGTGAGTGCTCCCTTCTCATTTGGTGGCCAAAGTATTTGAGCTTCAGTTTCATTATCTGGCCTTCCAGGGAACAGTCAGGGTTGATTTCTTTTAGGATTGACTGATTTGATCTTCTTGCAGTCCAAGGGACTGTATCATACGCTAATGCTTCATTTACTCCAAAACAACTAAAAGGAAAAAGAAAAACTAACAACTGTTTATAACCATGGGCTTAAAAATAAACTGTTTTATAAACACATTGCTTTTATCTTTATGCGCCCTTTTACTGTCTTGTAAATTAAACACCCAATAAGGGGAGGATAAGGTAAGCTGAAACATTAAAATCCTTAGCTATAACATTGACTAAGTATTATCTAAAGTATTCATGCATCCAAAAGGAAGGCATGGTGTTGGCAAAACAACAGCTCAACACTACTAAGCATGTCCTCTAGGCATCCTCCAGAATGATGGCCTCTGCAATAGCTCTAAGGAGACATTCCTGGCTCCGCAATACTAATCTGCCCATGGATAGTAGATCTTATGTGGAAGACCTTCCATTTGATGGCCTGGGACTTTTCAATGCCACTACTGATTCTACTTTACAGGAATTAGATAAAAACATAAAAGCTTCTCGAGCTCTAGGAGTATCATCCTCTGATGATCCCCGCACCTGGTCGAGATCCTGGCAGAGGCGTTCCCCAAGTCGTCAGTCTCCGGACACACAATGGAGACTGCGAACATCTTCGGGAGGCCAAAAATCCGCCTTCCAGAAACCAAGATTCGGTTCCGGGCAACAATCTTCCCGCACCAAACATACCATCCTGTCAAGACTCCAGTCGCTCCCTGGGACCTTCCTCTAGTTCTCCGCCAGCTCACGAGGAAGCCCTTTGAGCCACTCGCAACATGCGACCTCAAACTTCTAGCATGGAAAATGTCCTTTTTAATTGCTGTCACATCGGCTAGACGAGTGGGAGAAATATTGGCTTTCCGGCACGATACACCTTACCTGTCGTTTTTGCCGGACGGAGTCCGCCTCATCCCGGACATCTCCTTCCTGCCGAAGGTGGTGTCAGAGTTCCACCTGCAGGCGGAGGTCTTCCTCCCTGATTTCTTCCCAAATCCAACATCACCGGAAGACAAACTATTACACACTTTAGATGTGAAGCGGGCTCTCCTGTTCTTCCTCAATAGAACACACCCAACTAGACGAGACTTGCAACTGTTTGTCTCTTATGCGTCAGCACGACTGGGCACTCGCATCACGGCTCAGCGCCTATCAAAATGGATTGTGGGTCTCATCCGTCTATGTTACCTGATCGCCAAACGGCCATTGCCTGGCCCTATCAGGGCTCATTCTACCAGGGCTGTCGCGACTTCCACTGCCTTCCTCGAGGGAGTGCCACTGCCGGACATTTGCAAAGCCGCTACGTGGGCCACGCCTAACACCTTCATCAGGCCTTAGGTGTCCGTACGAACACCAATACCAGCATGGGATGTCACATTCTATCTTTGGCTACGCAGTAAAGGACCTGCCAGCACCCTCCTCCAGGTAGGCCACTGCTCGCTAATCTTCCATGGGTGTGAAGCACAGAGACCACGTCGAAGATAAACAGGTTGCTTACCTGTAACTGGTGATCTTCGAGTGGTCATCTGTGCACTCACACCACCCGCCCGCCTTCCCCGCTGCTGTCAGCTTCTACATTTTTAATAGGGGTTGATTTGCGGCGGTTTGAAGGAACTGGTGGGATGTCCGCGCCCACCCCTCTGGGCGTGCGCGGTGGGGTTCCTGCACATGCCCGAGGGACCGGGCACGAACATCCGTTAAAAGAGCTTGCTACAGCACTGATCGATCCAGCGCGTGCGCACTAGATCCCATGGGTGTGAATGCACAGATGACCACTCGAAGATCACCAGTTACAGGTAAGCAACCTGTTTTTCCTGGCTGCAGGTCATTCCCCCACCTTTCTCCCCTGCTCCATGCGGCTCAGTGCTGCCTTCTCTGACTGGCAGTGGCTTTCCAAAGCCCTGCTCCCTGACACCGGGGGGGAGGGGGGTAGATGTGCTCTGGCACTGAGCCTTTGCCCTTCTCTTGGCTGCTCGGGGGTACTTTACTCCTCAACCCCAGATGCTGGGGGAAAGGATCAGAGGGGAGGTCTCTTGCTTCTTTGCCTTGTTTTGGTGGGCTTCCTAAAGGCAATTGGGCTTTTCCAGCACTAGAAACATAATTGAACACCTGAAAGCTGCCTTATATGAAATCAGACCCTTGGTCCATCTAGGTTAGTATTGTCTGCTCAGACTGGCAGCACCTCTCCAGGGTCTCAGGCTGAGGTCTTCCACATTACCTGTTGCCTGGTCATTTTTTTAAACTGGAGATGCCAGGGATTGAACCTGGGACATTTCTGCATGCCAGGCAGATTGTCTGCCACTGAGCCATGATCCCTCACCTAGATGTTATACTGCCGTGGAGCTTTGGTCTGACCAGGCAAAGCAGTTCCTGTTCCCTAAGTGTTCACCTTTTAGAAGTGAACGTAAAATCCTCTCGGGAGTCACCACCATATCGTGAGGGTCACCTTTGGTCCCTATAAAGTACGTTGGTTGGGGTCCTCTGTCTCTCCCCACAACCACGTCGGATCATGCCTCCACTTTGATGTTCTCTTGCTTTGTTTGTTTGTTTGTTGTAGACTCCATTTCAGTCATCAGGCTTAGACACCAGTAGGACCACTCGGCACCACGGGCTGGTGGACAGAGTGTACCGTGACCGGAATCGCCTGGGCTCACCGCACCGCCGCCCGCTGTCGGTGGATAAACACGGCAGACAGATATCCTTTGACTTAGCCTTGTGGCAAGAGAATGGGGGTGGAAGATGTGTGTGTGTGTGTGTAGATGCTGGCTTGTCAGGGGGAGGGGGCTGACTGGAAAAAACAAAGCTAACATAGAGAGTTTACTGCAGGTCTCGGGGAATGGTGAGCTGGGGGCACACAGATAGTTGGGACACTGGCTAGCCACCAAGCAGGGAGGGACAGTCGGAGCAGTTTGGACTACACCTTGGTTAGGCTGAGCAGCCACCCGGCCAGAGCCATTGGCTTTATTGGGCTAGCTGGAGCCCCATTAGCCCCGCTTTGGCCAGCTGGAACCCTATTGGCCAATTTGTGCCACCTGGAATCCTATTGGCCCATTTCGCCATCTGACCTCTGCCGAGCTGTCAGTTGCAATACCACCCTCTGCCTATCTGCAGCGATGCCTCAGCACAGCAGAGAAAGGGCGCCGTTAATCCAGGAAGGGTTTTCTCTCTCCAAAACTGTGGAGAAGGCAAAGAGAGGAGGACTGAGCTGAAGTGCAGGAGGTAGATGTTTTTTTTCGCAACCACTTTGCGCAACTGTGCCCGCCCCCCCCCCCCCCAGCAAACAAGGGCAGATTTTTTCGCCCATTCAAAGCATTTCCTATACTCTGAATTGTCTTTATGGTGATGTCATGTAGCCGAATGTGATTGGCTATGTGGTGTTCCAATATAGCTTTTATGGTAATGTGGAGGAGGACGACAACCAATGGGGCACAAAACTGGGTTGTGAATAGCAGAGAAGGAGAAACAACTGCAAAGAATGGGGGGGAAGTGCAGTGAAGGCAGGTGGGGGGGACACTCGGGGGGGAAGTCTCTGAAAGATCTCCTTGTGCTCCCAAAATGCTCACAGCTGAACATTTGGACTATTTCAGAATAGTCTGAGGAGATAATCTGTTCCTCGTACACTAAGAAGAAAAAAAACCCCGAAGGGACTGCTTCCAGTATTTGAACTTGAAGCAGAGGAAGAGGTCATGTTGAAAGCATGAAGGAAGGATGCATTCAGATACCGGGATAAACTGTGTTTTGTTTTGAACAAGCCCTGGTTAATTGCGATGTCTGAATGCGGTCCAGCAAACTGAGATTGTCAGCTTGGGCATAACTGGTTTGTGGGCTACTGTTATGCTCATGGTGATTCGTTGTGGCATCTGATCTCCCAAATCTCAGTTTCTTGAGTATTTTGAAACCTCAAAACCACCTAGCCCCTGAGAGGGCAAGATGAAGGAAGATGTCTTCCCTCCTGGGTAGTGCACGAGAGGGTGATATGGACAAAACGTGGTTTAAGCATACCAGAGGGCTTGTTTCTTGCATTTGGAAAACTTAACCTGAGTTTGTTGTGCAGACCTCTGTTTCAGCAAGCCACGTTTTCTCTGGTGTCTGAATACACCACAAACAAGATGGAGAGTTGTAGAAGGGAGGATGCTTTGACACTAAATGGCATTCCACTTTTAGAACTCTGCCCTTTAAAGCCAAGAGCTTTGTTTGTTTTGGGTATGGCCTAGAAATGTTGAAATCACCAGTTTTTTGCACCAGGGGAAGGCTACTAGCAGAATGGATCTACAGGATCCAACTCAATATACTCACCCCAGTGTTGTGTGCTGGGTTGTCAATATCTGGCCAAAGCAGGCTTTCTTTTGTCTCAGGTTCAGGTGAATGATTGGGACCTTTTAAAAGACATTTGCAGAAGGTTTCTCTGAGTCTTTGTATGACGTTCTTCTCCCTTGACTTCCCGATTCACGTGGACAGTTGTCCGTATGGCACCGTGTATCTGTCGCCTCCTTCAGATACTAGCTGGAGAAGGTCTGTGTCCCATCTTATTTCTGCTGCCCAAATGCTAGTTCATTTGCCAGTTGCGTTTTCAGTTTTGTGGGCTTTTCAGTGGTTGCCGTCAGCTTTAAGGAGGGGGCGGTCATCACATCACAGGACTCTAATCTGGGCGAACCGGGTTTGATTCCTCACTCCGCCACATGCAGCTGCTGGTGTGACGTTGGGTTACAGGTTCTTTCAGAGCTGTTCTCTCACGAGCAGTGTTCGAGAGAGTTCTCTCAGCCCCACCTACCTCACGGGGTGTCTGTTGTGGGGAGGGGAAGGGAAAGTAGATTGTAAGCCACTCTGAGACTCCTTTGGGTAGTGAAGGGCGAGGTATAAATCCAATCTCCTCTTCTTCTTTTACCTCACAGGGTGTCTGTTGTGGGGAGGGGAAGGGAAAGTAGATTGTAAGCCACTCTGAGACTCCTTTGGGTAGTGAAGGGCGAGGTATAAATCCAATCTCCTCTTCTTCTTTTACCTCACAGGGTGTCTGTTGTGGGGAGGGGAAGGGAAAGTAGATTGTAAGCCACTCTTAGACTCCTTTGGGTAGTGAAGGGCGAGGTATAAATCCAATCTCCTCTTCTTCTTTGACCTCACAGGGTGTCTGTTGTGGGGAGGGGAAGGGAAAGTAGATTGTAAGCCGCTCTGAGACTCCTTTGGGTAGTGAAGGGTGGGGTATAAATCCAATCTCCTCCTCCTGAATTTGTGCTTCAGAAATGAGGGCGGGGTGACACTGTCCTGGTTTGTGTTAATCGTGCTTAAGCAAATCTTCGTCATTACTCCGAGTGGCCACTTGGGTGGAAAGACAAGATGAAAATGAAGTGGTTATTTAGGGCAAGGTGGGAAGTCCCTGAGAAGTAAAAAGGCTGGATTCCCCCCCTCCCCTCCCTGTCAAGGGAAGGTTATTCTAAATACTCCCTTTTCCATCTGGGCCAGAGTGTATAATGTTCTTCCTCCAATTTTCTCATCAGGACCAATTCGGATTCTGCCCTGCACCAGAGCACCATGGGCCCAGCTCAACCTGAATCTTTCTCGGGAGGCTCACAGGACATGCAACAGAAAAGAGGTGGCTTGACAACAACAATAGCAGTTCAGAGCTGAGTTTGGCAGCTGGTTGGGGAAGGCTGTGCTTTTGCTGTTGACTTTGGGGGCTTTCCTGACATCTGTTAAGTCTCCTCCTTTAAAAGGGCTGTTGAAACCAGAGGTCATTTCAGGGGGGGAACGCGGGGGAACACAGTTCCCCCGGGTGAGGTGCAGGGGGGTGGGCCACATGACGAAGCCCCGCCCCCTGCTTCCGGCCGCCCCGCTTCCAGCCCTCATTCAGCCAGGAGGAGGCAGGAGAAGAGGGAGGGCAAGTTGCTTTCTCCCCGCCTCTCCCCACCCCTGCCTGCCTGGGGCCAGAGAGGGCCTTCGCGGGGCTTTCTTGCACTCCCGCTGGCCTTGCAGGTCCACCGCCGGTCCCCTGATGTCAGGGGGTGTGGCATATGCTAATGAGTTATGTTAATGAGTTCCCCTAGCTCTTTTTCTACGAAATGACCCCTGGTTGAAACAGACTTGGTTTTGCAAGTGGGGTGCATGCGGATGCCGAGATTTCTGAAAGGGAAGGATCAAAGAGGAAATGTATTAGTTTTAAAAAAGCTAAAAGATGTGGTGTGGAAATCACCAATTCTGATCTGTTGGCTTCAAAAACCGGTCAAACAAATAAACTTGAACGTAAGTGTACACTTGGCGACACATATCTGAAAGGTGCTGAATTTTGTCTCCTAGTCTTACTGTTGACTGTCCCTGGCATGGAGGAAGGCACATCAGAGACGGACAAAAACCTTTCAAAGCAAGGATGGGACTCTAAGAAGGTACCACATCCAGTTTTGCTCAAACCTGGCTGCAGAAGGAATGGTTATATAGTGGTAACCGCTGTCTGTCTGTCTGTCACCTTAAGCAGAAATTAGGACCAAAAAATATTTTAAAAGACCTTACTCAGTATTATTTCTCTTATATTTGATTATTGTGCCTAGGGGAAGCTGGGATGGTGCCCAAGACTTTAGCTTGGCATGTAGGATTCAGAGACAGTGGATACATTAAGCAAACAAGAAGTTACTTGCACATGCTTAATTTGTATGATTCTGTCTTTTCTGTTTCTCGTGGGGCACTGTGTGTTTGTATGAATGTGAGAGAGCTGTGGAGGGATTTCGGAGCCAACAATATTTCTTGCTTTTAAGACTTCACAAAGCTCTGCCCTCTGCCTTTCAAGCATATCTGACCAGTCATAAGGCCTAGAATCTTGTGTGTGTTTGTTCTTTGCCTTAAATGAAAGTTGAGGCCCATGTCTTAATACCACATTGCGGAGCTTTTCTGCAGTCCTTTAAATCGCAAGCATGACACAGCCTGGATGGTGGTGGTTGTGGCTGTTGTTGCACTTGGCACTCCGTGGCATGCAAGAAGGCAGGACCCTTCCCTGAAGGGGATCCTAAGGCTAAAATTTGGTATACTAAAATTTGGTATAGTAACTGGAGGAAGCGGGGATGAACAAGGAGAAGAATCTGCATCCACTACTATTCCCTTTGTCCCATAAACCAGCGGGTGGCTGTCAGTAAACAGAGAGGAAGGCAATTGTGGTTTCCGAAAGGTCCCGGATGTCAGTGTGGCATGTGCCAGAGCCTGGTGCGGGAAAGAAGGATGTGCGCTTTCACACACACACACCCCAGCAGGCAGCTACTTTTCTCTGTGTCAAGTTCCCCTCTTTTCAGTCTCTTCTCTCTCCCCTCTCTTATCTCTTAGGTTTCCCTTCTTCCCAGAAGCCCCAGTCTTCAGCTGTTCACGCCGCTGCGAGACTATTTGTTTATGCCTATTTTACAAAAATGTATACCCCCCCTTTCTGCCCTGATAAATGCCACTGGCTCACAAATTAAAACATACATAATAAAAAACACACCTTGAATGTCATTAAACACAACCAAAAACGCATTATTAAAGCAATGAGAACCAGTTTTGAGGGTTGGGTGGGCAGGTGGTTTAATCTCGTTTTCGAATCCTGCACCTTCTGATTGATTTTTAAGTGGGTGGTGGTGGAGATAGGCCCCAGTTAGTCCACATAGCACAGTGCTTTTTTGTTTTCGACTGGAGGTGCCAAGCTCCGAAACGGGGTGGTGGTGGTGGTGTCCGCAAGTCTGCTGGGGGAAAAATGCAGCCGGCTTTCCTTCTGCCGCCATGAAACCACAGTCGTCCTCAGTTCTGCATCTGCTGCTGTGTGTCTCACGTCGGCGTGTTCTGCTCTGTTGTCTTTCAGACGGGATCCTCCAGGCCTAAATCCTGTGAAGTTCCAGGAATCAAGTATGTAAAAACAAAACAAAAAGCAATCGGAGCACATTTTGGGTTTTCTGGAAAATTGGGAATAAATGGCTTTTGTTGCTGTTTCGTTAAAAAAAGAAGAAGTGTCTCAGGCAAGCGCCTGAGGAAATGATGATGATGATGATGTAGAAGAATGGGTGTCTGAAAAAGATTAGTTCAGAAGGCAGCATCCGAACTCTCTGATGAAAAACCCCCAGATCGCAATCAGTGCTCCCTCTAAGCTGTGGAGTCTTGTGAGCAAAAATTCTACTTTGAGAGCTACTGGCATTAAAGCTGTGAGCGAGCGATTTGGCTACTGCATAAATTAGTTTGCTCTGGAGCCGTCCTTCCTGAGCTAAGATAACAAAGTGTGATCCAGAGGCTAAAAAACTGTGAGCTAGCTCACACTGACTCAGCTTAAGAGGGAACACTGATCCCAATGTCCGTCCAGCCAGTTTGGTGTAGTTGTTAAGGGCACAGACTCTAATCTGGGAGGACCAGGTTTGATTCCCCACTCCTCCACTTGCAGCTTGGGCAAGTTCTCTCAGAGGGGTTCTTGAAAAGAGCAGTTTCTGTCAGAGCTCTCTCAGCCCAACCTACCTCACAGGGTGTCTGTTGTGGGGAGGGGAAGGGGAAGGAGTTTGTAAACTGCTCTGATTGAAGCTCCGAGTGAAGGGAGATAAATCCAATCTCCTCTTCTTCTTCTTCTTTCCTCGAGGTATTAAAAGCAATGGCAGAGAGAGAGAGAGATATTGCCTCTTCTCCACTCGGGCTCAATGCCAAACATCCCACCAAACTATGACTTAATTGTGGTTCAGTGCTATGTCCAGATTGTCTGAGAAACTGGAATTAGAAGCCGCCCTGTAAACCATGGTTTGTTCCTTTTGCGGGGTGGTCCTGTTTGGCTTTGCCTCCAAAGGCCCCTGCGTCTCCAGACCTGGTGTGTGGAGGTATTTGGTCCAGGAAAGCAGACTAACAGTTCTGAGCCGCAGCTGCCAGGTGTATACTTGGAAGTTCAGTGGGTGGTTTTTGTTCTCAGCTCTTTGGTGTGGATTTAAGCTGTGGCTCCTGCAGTGTGGAGCAAACCTAATCAGTTTTCTTCCCCCCAGTGGAGTCTAAGACAAGACCTGCTGGATCAGACCAGTGGTCCTTCTAGTCCAGCATCCTGTCTCACACAGTGGCCAACCAGTTCCTCTTGAGGGCCAACAGCAGGGCATAGAGGCCAAGGCCTTCCCTGATAAGAGCATAAGAAGAGCCCTGCTGGATCAGAACAGTGGTTCCTTTAGTCCAGCATCCTGTCTCACACAGTGGCCAACCAGTTCCTCTGGAGGGCCAACAACAGGGCATAGAGGCCGAGGCCTTCCCCTGATGTTGCCTCCTGGCTCTGGGATCCAGAGGTTCAGTACCTGAATGTGGAGGTTCCTTTCAGTTGCCATGGCTAGTATCCATTGATAGATTATCCTCCATGAATCTACCTAATCCCCTTTTAAAGTCGTCTATTCCTGTGTCCATCACAAATCCTCTGGCAGCGAATTCCACAATTTACTCACTGTCTGTGTAAAGATGTATTTCCTTTTGTCCATCCTGAACCTACTGCCCATCAGCTTCATTGGATGCCCTAGTATTTTGGGAGAGGGAGACAAAGTAGACTTCTTTTGGAACCAGTTAAAAATCCTGGTTTCTCAACATTCATGGATTACTTTATTTAAACATTTCTATAGTAGGTATTTGTTGTTGTTTTAATTGCATTTTATAAGTAGTAAGCACAGGAATCTTGATACCAAAGCAGGTGATTGTTCTAGCTAGATAGCTTGCTTGTTTATATATCTAGGAAATGTATATGCCGCCTTCCAGTAGAACCTGCTCAGAGCAGCATACAAAGTAAAACACAAAAACCCCCATAAAGTGGCATAAATTCTTTAAAACTCAGATTATCAGAAACCCAGGCAGAGCATTAAAATGGGGTAAAACATTTAGCAGGTTGAAACCACTATAATGAAACAGCCCTCAAGCCGAGATGCACACTGTAAAAAGATTTAAAAACGCCAAACCTCTCGCTTGAAAAGCCTGAGCAAAAAGAAACGTTTTGGCCTGGTGCCTAAAACAGAATAGGGTAGGCACCAATGCTCTCCTCTAAGCTGTGGAGTCCTGTGAGCAAAACATCGACTTTGTGAGTCACTGGTATTAAAGTTGTGAGCGAGCGATTTGGCTGCTGCAGAAATTAGTTTGCTCTGGAGCCTGCAGGTGGTCTCGGGTGGGGGGGGGGCACAGAGAGCCGTGAGGAGGATCAAAACCGGCAGGCTGGACAAGTGCAGGAGGGAGGCTTAGTATTATCACTGGGAGTCATTGGCTCTCTAGGATGGAAAGCAGAGAAAGGTCTTTCCCAACACCTGCCACCTGAGACCCTTTTAACTGGAGGCGTCAGGGATTGCTCCAAGCCCTGGCCCCTCCAAGTGCTCTCTTCAAGAAAACTTGAATTCTGGGGGGGGGGAAGGGGTAGGAATTGCTGCAGCTCCCCAGAAGTTGCCGTCTGCATGAGAGCCACATTTCCAGCTTCCTTCCCTTCTGCTTAACGGTGCTTTCCTCTCAAACGCAGCATCTTTCCGTCGGCCGACCAGGAAAACACTACCACGCTCATCCCCGCCACTCACAACACGGGCGGCTCCCTGCCGGACCTGACAAACATCCACTTCCCTTCTCCCCTCCCGACGCCGCTGGACCCGGAAGAGTCGTCTTTCCCTTCCCTGAGCAGCTCCAACAGCACCGGGAACCTTGCCGCCAACCTGACGCACATGGGCATCGGCACAGCCAATCAGGGTAAGCGGATGGCTGGATGGCAAAGTGGTGCCCCGAGAAGGTTCTCGCAGTGTCGTTCCTCGTCCCAGGTTTGTGGCCCCGGGATGCCCTTTCCAGTCCCAGCCAGCTGCCTTTTGCGGTATTTAGGAAGGGAGCTAGTATGGTGTAGTGGTTAAGATCGTGGGCTCTAATCTGGGAGGCCCGGGTTTGGTTCCCCACTCCTCCACATGCAGCTGCTGGCGTGACCTTGGGTCAGTCACAACTTCTTTCAGAGCTGTTCTCTCAAGGGCAGTCCTCAAGAGAGCTCTCTCAGCCCCACCTACCTCACAGGGTGTCTGTTGTGGGGAGGGGAAGGGAAAGGGGATTGTACGCCGCTCTGAGATTCCTTTGGGTCGTGAAGGGCAGGGTATAGATCCAATCTCTTCCTCCTCCTCCTCCTCCGCCATACCAGGCATTGATTCCTGTGTGTTTTTTGAGAGGGCCCAGAATATTTTGTGGTAGCCGTACTGGCCTCAGTTCTGTCAATTTCCCAGTCCAAGAAGCCCCAAAGCAGAAGGCCGATTCAGACAGTCACAAGCTGGATCCCTTTCAACCATCCCATTGTTGAAACAGCTCTAACTACACTTGACTGCCGTCTTAAAGCGCCACCTGAGCAGTGAGGCAGGGTTTCAGCAAGCCGGTGGTTCTTCAATGGGACCGGGGGAAACTGAGGCAGGCTGACACCGTGGAATCTGATAGCTGTTCAGACCTTTCTCTCCTCCCCTGCCTGGACAGATTCCAGGAAGCGAACGCACGTGAACCTACTTGCTACCGAGTCGGACTCCTGGACTGCCAAGTTCAGTATCGCCTGCTTAGTGTGGCAGCCACTCTCCAGGGTCCCAACCAATGTTCCCTCTAAGCTGTGGAGTCTTGTGAGCAAAAATTCCCGTTTGTGAGCAACTGGCATTAAAGTTGTGAGCGAACGATTTGGCTGCTGCATAAATTAGTTTGCTCTGGAGCCCTCCTTCCTGAGCTAAGACAAAAATGTGTGAGCTGGAGGCGAAAAAACTGAGCTAGCTCACACTAACTCAGCTTAGAGGGAACACTGGCAGGTAGTCTTTCGCATCCCCCGTGACTCGATGATTTTCAATGATAATGCCGGGGGGATTGAACCTTGGTCCTTCTACATGCCAAGCAGATGACCTGGCATTGAATGACACAGTCTCTCCCTCTTGTAAGCAAAGCCCTTGACAGTGGATGGGAAGCATCAGAAGACCATAGAAGTCAAACTGAGGTGGAGTCTATGCCTTCCGGTTGGGAAAATTTTCAGCTGCAGTGCCCCAGGGAGTTTTTGAACACATCCCCCCCCGCCGTAGAACGGGGGGGGGGGGGCGGGTCCCCAACCTGAGCCTGCAGGCATATTTGGAATCCTGATAAAACGGTAGTGGGCACAGCTATAAAATGGCTCCCGTGGGAGGCGGAGCCAAGCACACACAGGAAGCCCAAGTTGCAGAGGAGAAGAGGGGTAATTAAGTATATACCGGGGGGCCACTTCCTCACTGTCATTTTTGTCACTCTTTTCCAAAAAACACTAGGCGGGTGCCAGGAAAGGTATTGGCAGGCACCGCATCAGGCACCCCCCGCTGTGCAGTCTTGAACATCCCTGTATCTTTTTCAGTCTTCTTTGTCCCGCTGCTCCAATAGAGCCTAAAGGAAAGGGCTGCTCTTACTATAGACAGCCTCTTGTGTCCCAGATGTTGCCCACAATGCAACGCTCCCTCTAAGCTGTGGAGTTTTCGTGAGCAAAAATTCTTCTTTGTGAGCTCCTGGCATGAAAGTCGCGAGCGAGTGATTCGGCGACCGCATCAATCGGTTTGCTCTGGAGCCCTCCTTCCTGGAGCCAGTTTGGTGTAGCGGTTAAGTGCGCGGACTCTGATCTGGGAGAACCAGGTTTGACTCCCCACTCCTCCACTTGCACCTGCTGGATGACCTTGGGCAAGCCATAGTTCTGTCAGAGCTGTTCTTGAAAAAGAGCCGTTTCTGTCTGAGCTCTCTCAGCCCCACCTCCCACACAGGGTGTCTGTGGTGGGGAGGGAAAGGGAAAGGAGTTTGTAAGCCGCTCTGAGACACCTTCGGGTAGTGAAGGGCGAGGTATAAATCCAGTCTCTTCCTCTCTTCCTCTTCTTATAACAGAGGTCCCCAACCCTTTTGAGCCTTTGGGCTGTCTTGGAATTCTGGCCCAGAATTCCAAGACTGCGTGTGAAGGGCGCAGCTGCAAAACGGCTGCCGCAAAACGGCTGCCACGGGAGGCGGAGCGAGTGCAAAAAAGGCTGTCGTGGCCGATGTTCCCTCTAACCTGTGGAGTCTTGTGAGCAAACATTCTACTTTGTGAGCTACTGGCATTCAAGCTGTGAGTGAGCGATTTGGCGACTGTATAAACTAGTTTGCTCTGGAGCCATCCTTCCTGAGCTAAGACAAAAATGTGTGAGCCGGAGGCTAAAAAACTCTGAGCTGGCTCACTAACTCAGCTTAGAGGGAACATTGCCCATAACTGTGTTGCCCTCACAGATGTGAAGAGATTGTGCAGCCGTGCCTCGGTTGCAGACCCGCCTTCATGTAGCCAGCTTGCTTAAGAGAACACCCGGACGCTTGCCTGAATGGTACCCGGACTCAACTGGCAAGCATCCTCCTCGCAAGAAAGTGAGGGGAGGAACTCAGTTTTGCACCGGATCTCCCTGCTCTGTCCAAGGGCCATAGCGTGGTGAAGGCAGCCAGATGGCGGCTTGGTGTATTTTCCTGGTACCGTTCTTCCAGCATCCCGGAGTTCCAGAGATGCTGCATGGTGCCAAGTTTTCGCCTGTACTCGTCCCCCAACTCTGCCACTCATTTTTAAAATGTATCCAGACCATACATATATGCTGGAGGGGAAGTACCGTACAATGTACGTGCATATTTAACTGTAAATCTATACCCATCCTCAGTCCTAAGCCAGCTGTCCTTGAGCGCACTCTGTCTGGTACCCTCCCTAATCACCATCGTGATTCTTCGCTGTTCCAAGGGTCCAGAAACTCGACGCGTTCGTCAAAAAGTTGCAAATGGAGACCGCCGGGTTTTAGTCATGTGGCTTCTGGGTGAATGCACAGGTGTGGGGATGGATGGGGGTGGGTGGGTAGTCGGTTAGTGCCTGCGAGACGCGACCCGAACAAAGCCACTTTAGAATTGCACTCAGAGAGTTGAAAGAAGCCTTCCTCTGTTGGCAACAGGCATGACGACGACACAGGCTTCTTCTCAGCAGCACCGGCAGCCAAACGTCAGCCCCCTTTCGTTGAACACGGACTCCAGGAGGCCCCAATCCCAGCAGGTCTCTCCCACGCTCTCGCCTCTATCGCCGATCACTCAGGTAAGCTGCGGAGGCCCTGTACGCCTACCCACAGGCCTCCCTTAGTTGAGCACTCGTCTGGCCTGGTGGGGGGGGGGGTGAAGCCAATGTGGCCGCACCTTTCCGCTTTGCAGCTGGTGGCAGCGATTGCCGTTTTAAAGCTGTAAACATATAAACCCAAACTGCCCATTTGGAAAAAGCTGCCACAGGAAACAGTTTCGCTCAAGTCCTGCGAAGCGTCCTCCCCCTCCCCCCAGGCTCTCGCAGGACTCTCTCAGAGCTGCCGAAGAGAGAGTGCCTCCTGATTACCATATCGAGGGGGCTTGTTCCATAAGGGGGGGTTATTACGGTAACGGGAAGGGTTCTAGCAGCTGGCGAGTGAGCCGTCGGGGGGAGGGGGGAGATTCTGAACATGACAGCCGGCAATCGACCAGAATGCGTCCCTGCCTCCGCCCCCAATAGGCCCCAGTGAGGCAAGGAGTAGGGCGGCCAATGTGTGCCTGCCTTGATTTGGGCCCCCTTGTGTCTGATGGGGGGCGGTGTGTCTCCAGTAGAGGACCCCCCCCTCCTTTTGGGTGATAGGCTTTCGTAGTGAAGCACCAGCATCAAACTCTGCCCCCCAAGAATATCAGTCCTCTGTCCTTGCAATAGGGTTTGTGCCCAGGCAATCTTTGTCTTTTCCCCATCAAGGCCGTGGCGATGGATGCTCTCTCCCTGGAACAGCAGCTTCCGCCATATCCTTTCTTCACCCAAACGAGCGCGCAGCAGCAGCAGCAGCCCCAAGTGGCCAGCTCCCTCCCGCCAAACACCCCTCTGATGCAGACCTCCGGCTTACAGAGAGGAGTGCAGCTCCCGCCGCTCACGGTCACTGTCCCCTCCACAATCCCACAGTCTCCGCCAGGCAGCCAGACCCAGACTTCAATGGGAATAGACATCAGCTCGGTAAGCTTGAAAGGGCGGGGAAGTCTGGAACTAGAACAGTTCCTGTCCCCGCAGGTCCCGGCACCGGTCGAGATTTCCTTGTGTAATCTTTGAGCAGAGCGTTGGGCGCAGAAAATGGTCAAGGTTTCAAGAGCCGCGGCTTTCCCTCAGTGGACTCTGCAAAATGCAGTCTCTGGGAGTGGGTTGGGATTTCTGTGAAGGGAGCGGGGAAGTCTCTAAGGGCGAACTCCAGTCCCCAAGATACTTAGCTGGAAAGCCTGACTTTGCCAAGCAGGTCTTAGGAGTGGGTTGACATGAGCAGCGGTCACAGGTTTGCTGCCTGTATTCTCTCGTTCCAGTCAGTTTGAGCTCCCTGGAGTCCAGAATGGCTGTTCTGTCTCCTTCACTTTCCTTGGATAAAAGGCCTTTCTTTTTTTAACGCCCAGGGTGTTTAAAATTAAGGACCTGAGGTATGAAGCCACTGTCCACAGCCTCCACTGCACATCTTGTGTCCTGTCAGGCAGTTGCCCAGCTGTGGAAGAACAGCGCAGGGAGGGGTCTCCCTCAGAGCCAGGCTGCCCCCCGACCTAAGCTGGAAGGGTCTGCTCTCCGACTCGGTGCCCTTGAGGTCACGGGATGGCTCGGGAGAAGGCAGCCAGGTCTTCCAGCCATGTGGCTCCGTGTGGCTCATCTGCCCATTTGAACATTGATGGGCAAAAGGATGACTTCTGGTGTTTTAAAGTAGCAGCTCTGTGTATCCTGTGCTGAGAGACAGAAGCCCTGAGGTTGTCAGTCAGGGGAATCTTAGCTAGTGTAACCCATCCACACTTCGACTAGTCTGTTGATGCGAACTCTTTGTCCATAGACGATGTCTTTGTCCATAAACAAAACTGTTGGTCTGAAGGAAAGGACGTTCTTGGGGGGGGGGGTTTGTTTTTTTTTTTAAAGATTTTTGTCTAATGAGAATTTACGGAGCAGTTTACAAAAATTTAAACCAGAGCCCTGGCTGACAGCTTAAAAGCAGCAAGGGAATAAAAGACCTGTTCACCAAGAGCACACAGAGAGAAGATTTTACTTGACTTTCAAAGGGTATCCGGGAAGGAATCAAATGGAAGTTTTCAGAGAGGATGTTGCTCAGACCTGGGGCTACAACAGAAAAGGCCCCGCTTCTCGTGCATGTCAGTCTTGCTTCCATAAGGTGGAAAACAAAAAGAGGACCCCACTGACAGACCTTACACATGGGGGGGGGCGCTGTATGGGAAGAGGCATTCCCTCAGGTCATTGGGATCTGGGCCTAAAGTGAGAATGACTTCTCCGTGTGGCATTCCTTTTTGTCCATGACCTCTCAGGGCATTGTGAACGGTACTAGCTCTGCTGGGTTCGTTGCAGACTTTTCTCCCCAGTTCCTCCTTCCCCCCCCTCCCGGTCTCTCTCCTTTCTGCCCCCCGCCCCCCAGCCATGGCCATCCATCCATGAAAGAAACCAGTGATTTTTTTTTTTTGGTTGGTTCTCTTCTTTTCCTCCTCTGCCCTGTGGTCTCTAACGCTGTGTCCTTCTGTAGGGGTCTCTCCAGCAGTACCGCAGCAATGCCGGCTCCCCGGCCAACCAGTCTCCCACCTCTCCTGTCTCCAATCAAGCTTTTTCTCCTGGCAGCTCCCCCCAAGTAAGGGACTGTGCACTTTTCTTTGGCTTCTTTGCTGCTCATTCTCCTTTTTTTCTGCTTGATTTTTCCACCGTTGGCTTTTTGAATGTCTTTGGCTAACTGTTTTCTTTTATAATATATGTATGCACTCTCACGCACCATATACACAGACGTAGCCAGTGGGGCCATGCCTATGTTTAAAAAGAAACTAATTTATGATGAAGGATAAAATAGGTACGTGCACACACATGGAGCTGCCTGATACTGAGTCAGTGTACAGAAATGAAGGTCACAGACAGCTACATACAACGGTAAGGTAAAGATCACAACCGCTGTTAATAATGCGCTATATTATATTTGCAAACAGATAAACTACAGTCAATAAATATTCATAGTCTCCTTAAGAATAGTCCCTAGGAAAATTCTTCAACAATAGTAGACAAGTAGCAAGGATTGCAAATGTAGACAAGTAGAAAGGGTTGACGAAACTCCCCGGAGTACGTTTCCATTTCGTGATATCACTTCTTCTGAACAACATCAACTCAAACACCGTGGTGTCTTCTGTTATTTCATCATGGTGTCAATCATTCAGGAAACATTTAAACAAATCCTAATTCCTTATACATGATAATTTTCAAATGCTGGGCATGTACAAGGATTTAGGATTTGTCTAAATGTTTCCTGAATGATTGCAACCATGATGAAATAACAGAAGACACCACAGTGTTCGAGTTGATGTTGTTCGGAAGAAGTGATATCACAAAACGGAAACGTACTCCGGGGAGTTTCGTCAACCCTTTCTACTTGTCTACATTTGCCACTTGTCTACAATTGTTGAAGAATTTTCCTGGGGACTATTCTTAAGGAGACAATGACTGTAGTTTATCTGTTTGCAAATATAATATAGCGCATTATTAACAGCGGTTGTGATCCTTACCTTAGCGTGATACTAAACCAGGCCATTGGTCCTTTAGACCATTGGTCCATCTATTCAGACTGGCAGTGGCTCTCCAGGGTTTCAGGCAGAGCTCTTTTCCATCCCCTGCTGCCTGGACCTTTTACGTGGAGATGCCAGGGACTGAACCTGGGACCTTCTGTATGCCAAGCAGATGCTATACCATTGAGCAATGGCCCCTCCCATAAAGTGGACACCTTGAGCTACCCTGTGCTGCATCGGAATCCAGGAAGGTCAGTATTGCTCATAGGGATGGGCACAAACTGGGAAAATGTGGTTTTGTTCGTGGTTTGTGGCTGAACCACAAAGTGAGATATGAAAACAATATGTACAGGTGCGTGCTAGAGGCCCACAGAACAATACGACAGCAATGAGACTTTATTAGTATTTATTACAAGACACTTAATATAGTCTCATTTGTTGTCGTATTGTTCCGTGGGCATCTAGCACACATCTGTATATATTGTTTTCATACCTGACTGTTTTGGGACTGTGTGTTATTCCTTTGGATTGAACCACAAAGTGAGCTTAGAGGCTCGTTCATGAACCAAACCAGTTTGTGCCGTTCACTGCCCTGCAAATCCCACTGAAAGGGACTGCAGTTTTAAACAGGGTTTGCAGAAAGCCCGGAAAAAGAAGCTGAGCAGCGGGGAGCAGCTTGCTGTCTTTTAAAGGGACTATAGAAGACAGCCCATAAGAGCTATGTGGCGAGAGTTTTATGCATTCATTCATTCATTCATTTGATTCAACCGCAGAAGACAGCCGCTCAGCTGTTTTTGCAGTTTTCACAGGGAACAGAAAGCAGGTTTAAAGGGACTCAGTCTCTTTAAACCCCCACTTTCTGCAGCATCCACGAACTGCTCTGGAAGTTTGTGATGGTGAACCTGTCACAGACTTTTGTTCATGAATCACGAACAGGGCAGAATTCGTCACGAATTTTGCTTCATGGTTCGGTTTGTGCCCATCCTTAATTGCTTACTCAAACTAGCAGCAGCTTTCCAGTGTCTCGAGCAAAGGTGTTTCATTCTGTTGTAAGCCACCCTGAGCCCTACCTGTAAGGAGGGACGGCCTAGCAAATCTAATTTAATAAAACAAATTACTAAATAATAAACATCACCTACTTCCCAGCCCTTTTAACTGGAGTTGCCGGGGATGGAACTTGGGACCTTCTGCGTACAAAGCAGAGGCTCTTCCACTGAGCCTTAGCCCCCTCCTGAAGTTACAGATATTGGTATAGCTAAATATGTAGACATAGCTGGGCTTGACCATAGGGGTGGTTTATCCTGGATGAGCAGTCTTCAATTCATGGCTCAGTTTCCTCAGATTGTCACAGAACCCTTTTAGGGTGACGTGGCAGGGGACTTTTTGGAAGGACCTGCTCCTAGTGCACATTCATAGAGCTCAAAGGGTGCTGTGTCTCCTGTCCTCCTTTGCCCACGCACCAAGAGGAGCAGCAGGATAGTGACACAAGGTCATTCAGTGATCAGATAAACTTTCCTGATACTGAATCAGACCCTTGGTCCATAGAGGACAGTCTTGTGCATTCATACTGGCAGCAGCTCCTCAGGGCCTTAGGCAGAGGTGCTTTGCATCACCTGCCCCCTGATTAATGGGAGATGCGGGGGATTGAATTTGGGACTTTCTGAATGCCACACAGATGATCTTGAGTAAGCTGTAGCCTATCCAATAGTAGAGAGGATTCCTCCAGGGATCTGCCTTGTGTTTGCCATCCCCAGCTCTTTTGGCTGGTGGCCATGGTCCTGGCCTTGATACTACTGAGACTATAACTCTGGGGCCTCCTCTTTCTGTCATGTGACTGTGATGTCTTGGCTTCATTCCATGTTCAAGTAGCCCCACGCTGCTGCCTGAGGACTAAAGGTGGCTCCCAGGTCTAAGAATATTGAAGTCCCACTGTTCTAGATTATATGTTGTTGATGGCTAGTATATTCTTGAAACTGCATAGTATGCATTGTTACCTTGTGGAACTCACTGCCACATGGTACGGCGGTGGTCCACTCGTTTTGATGGCACAAAATGAAGTCATGCAGGCTTTCATGGAGGCTAGAGATCTTGAAGGCTGTTGGCTATGATTGTTAAATGAAGTGTCTGGGTTCAGAGGCCATATACGGTGCTCTCATGGTTCCCATTTGGTTTGTGGAGGCACAGTGTAAAGGAGGTTGCATGCGGTTACGAGAGAAACTGTAAAGGGTGGTAAGGCAAGGCAGTACAACAGGATGCAAATGGGTCTAATCAGAGAGTCTGTACAGGTGTGCTACCTTCCTCAGATCAGGAAGTGACCCCGGGGAGCAGTATAAGTCTATAAATAAATAAATAAACCTCTGGGTTTCATTCATTTGTTGTATATTGGCTGGCCTGAGGAACAGTGTGACCTTTGAAATTTTCTTTAATTGTGGAGCTGCGGTGGCTCAAGTGGTTAAGATGCTGAACTGCAGGCTGTGGAAGGTCGGTAGTTCGAGACCCGAGTGTGCCACATGACGGAGTGAGCTCCCGTCTCTAGTTCCAGCTCCTGCCAACCTAGCAGTTCGAAAGCAAGAAATTGCAGGTAGATAAATAGGTACCACTTCAGTGGGAAGGTAACAGCGTTCAGTGCGCCTTGGTGTTTAGTCATGCCGGCCACATGACCACGGAAATGTCTTCGGACAGCGCTGGCTCTTTGACTTTGAAACGGAGATGAGCACCGCAACCCTAAAGTCGGATTCGACTGGCTTTCGAGCAAGGGAACCTTTGCCTTTTTAACAATTCTTTGGGTTTGAAGTAGTGCTTTAGTTAGCATAGCCGAAGCCATTTTAACGTACCCCTTATCTTGTTGGTTCTTCCTTCCTGTAAGGTAGGCCTGCATTGTAATTTCCACGTGATTGTCTTCTCAGTCCCTCCCTTGATAGTTTCCCAGAAGCGAGCACAAAAAGTTTGCTTGAGCGCTCCCTTGTCACCTTTGTTTAAGGTGGCTGCAGGGTTTGGAGCTCACAAGTGGGAAGGAATCATCCTCCCCCACTGCCCAGTGAATGTTGCCTACCATTTGAATGGGGGGGGGGACGACGACTGTATTTCGAGAATTCCGTTAGATCCATTCTCTTAGAGGCGGTGCCTTCTTCCAGCACAAGGTGCCTTTGCCTCCCGCAAGACTCTTGCAGATTCTTTGAGCCCGAATAAAATGCCGTGGTGAGCAGAATAGATTTGTGGGAGCCAGCCAAAGTGGGTATTGGGTGCGGGGCAGGGGTAACAGTAGGCATCACAGCGAGGATGACATTTAGGATTTTCTTTAGGGTGATGTTTTGGGCTCGTCAGTTCAGAGATAATTGAGGGAATGGAGCGCTTCTCCCATAATACTAGAAAGCGGGATCACCCCGTGACATTCCTGGGCAATAGATTCCGGAAGTCCTTCACGCCTCAGATAGTTAACCTATGAAACACAAAGCCACTAGCTTGGTGGTAGAAAGTGCTGTCAATTTTTTTTTTTTAACCAGAACATTTTATTCGTATTCAACCATAATGTGTAACAACAAACAACAAGAGTTACAGAAATCCACTTATCCTACCAATGCAATCAAATATACAATCAAAGAGAGGTTCCACGAAACAAAGCCATAAAGGTCATAGAAACATTAACCCAATAGCAACAACTTATACTTTGCATTGTAAATAGTGCCGTCAAATCACAGCTGATTTATGGCGACCCCCGTTTCCAAAGCAAGAGACGTTTAGAGGTGGTTTGCCATTGCCTGCCTCCCCATGGTCACTCTGGCCTTTGGTCTTCTGCCCAAGTACTAGCCAGGAGTGACCCCGCTTAGCTCCCGAGAGCTGACAAGATTGGGCTAGCCCAAGCCATCCAGGGAAGAGTGCCTCCAGTGGTTGGGGGGGGGGGGATAGACATTCATGATCCCATTAGTGGCTGTCAGTCATACTTGATAACAGAGCCCCTGTCTTCATCAGTGGAGGGCTGTGCGTTGGGCAGCAGCACCTTGTGCAGTGGCCCCCAAGAAGACGGGAGGGGGAGTCACATGCCCCACCTGTGAGAGTAATGGGGGGGCGGTGGCGGCAGATCTGAGCAGGTAAAGAAATAGGGGGTAGAGAAGTGAGCTGCCCCATGTGCCGGAAGAGGAGGTCTTCTTCATGGCTTTGCCCTCCGTAGAGCGCCTCTCAAGCTCAGTGTGATGCGGAAGATCGCGGTGCTCTTCTCCTGAACTTGGAGACGGGAGAAGAATATGGCCACTCGTGCCAGACCTTGTGCTGTTCAACTGTCAGGGCTTGTCTGTCTCCCACTATCGGTGTCTCTTGCCAGTAAGTGAAGATTTTTTTTTTGTCTTGTCTGGCATATCCCCCAGTAACAGTTCTCGGCCCTCCCACTAGTGTTGCCTATGTGTTTTCAATTGCGCTTTATCATATTCACTGTATTTTAATTGTTTAAATGTTTTAACACTTCATGTATTCACCGTTCCTTTGAAAAGTGGTGTTGGGGGAGAGTTCTGTGGATCCCGTGGACTGCCCAATTGTAAAAAGAAGTGGCTTCTAGATCAAATCAAGCCCGAACTGTCCCTAGAAGCTAAAATAACTAAACTGAGGCTATCGTACTTTGGTCACATTAGGCAAAGACGAGAGTCATTGGAAAAGACAATCACGCTAGGAAAAGTTGAAGGCAGCAGGAAAAGAGGAGGACCAGACACGAGATGGATGGACTGTTCAAGATAGGACGCTTTGGAGGACATAAATTCACAGGGTTGCCATGAGTCGGGAGCGACTTGACGGCACTTAACACACACGTTTGCCACCTCGTGGACCCTGGTTGAGTGGAAAGGCTCCTACACAACAGACACGCCCCACTCACCTACTTTTTGACCACTCGAGTCAATTCTTTTGCTGGAGACGGCTGCCGCTGGGTTGGGTCTTGAAGAGCAAGGCACTTTATTTTGGTGTACAGTTTGGTGTAGTGGTTAAGTGCACTGACTCTAATCTGGGAGAACCGGGTTTGATTCCCCACTCCTCCACTTGCAGCTGCTGGATGACCTTGGGCAAGCTATAGTTCTATCAGAGCTGTTCCCTCAAGGACAGTTCTGAAAAGAGCTCTCTCAGCCCCACCTACCTCACAGGGTGTCTGTTGTGGGAAGGGAAAGGAGTTTGTAAGCCACTCTGAGTGAAGGGCGGGATATAATCACAAGGTATAGATAGGAACTGTCAGTCTGGGGCAAGTGATGCACTGTAATTCTTAGTGCTTGGGGGGAGCAACAGTGGGAGGGCCTGTAGTGTCCTGGCCCCACTGCTGGACCTCCTGATGGCACCTGGTATTTTTGGCCACTGTGTGATACAGAGTGTTGGACTGGATGGGCCATGGGCCTGATCCAACACTGGCTTCTCTTATATTCTTATGGATAAACATATGAAGCAGAGGTCCAAGAGTAGCTATTAGCCACAAGGTATAGATAGGAACTCTTGGTCTGGGGCAAGGGTTGCTCTGTATTTTTGGTGCTTGGGGGGGTCAACAGTGGGAGGGCTTCTAGTGTCCTGGCCCCACTGCTGGACCTCCTGATGGCACCTGGTATTTTTGGCCACTGTGTGACGGAGTGTTGGACTGGATGGGCCATTGGCCTGATCCAACATTGGCTTTCCTTATGTTCTTATGTTCTTATCTGATGGCCTCTGACCTCTTTCTAGAATAAAACATTGGGCTGGATCCCCCGGGCTGGTTTGCAGCCATATTTGCCCCGCTCTGTTGCTAACAGAAGACAGCAAAACCGACACAAAAGGCGCTGTAACTCTGGAAGTGTTAACTGTGGTAGAAGCCAGCAGAGGAGCCGGTCTTGGACTCGATTGCTGAAGCAGCAAAAAATCTGTTAATATTCTTGCCGAGCTTAACAGCTAGAGAGGGTATTAAGCAGTTCATTTGGGATTTCCAAAGGGAAAGTGTGTGCGTGTGTGCAATCTGCCGTTCTGCTGTGTTCAGACTAGAGATGTGAAGGCCCGGGGGGGAAAAAATGGAAAAATTAGGAGGGAAACCAGTTTTTCCCCATTTTTTTCCTGAAGCCTTTTTGATTTTCCAAAAAATTGGAAAAATTGAAAAAAGAAAAAAAAATGATTATGGAACGTTTTATTTTAACATGATGAATAAAATATTTTAGGACAAGGTGTTCAAATATTTTACAAATCATTTCTAATATATATATTAGATTGATCTAATTTCTGTGCACTGAGGACAAGCAAGTTCTAGGTTACAAACTGAACCCTCCAATGCAAGAACAAGATGCATTTCTTCCTTTAGGAGGTGCGATTGTCAGAAGAAAATTAAAAAGTTTCAGTTTTGTTTTTGCATGTGGGTGGGTATTCTCTTTGAAATAATTGTTTGGATACACTATATTTTTAATATGCTAGTTGTGATAATTTCATGCCAAGTAAAAATGTCCATAGTCATATTTTATGTTCCTAAAGTAACAGAATGACTTTCAATCTAGAAAAGACAAAATAAATGCTAATGTAGCATTTTTTTCAGTTTGTCCGAAAATTTCCGTTTTCTCCCAAAAAAAACCAGGAAAAAACTGGGTTTTTTTCCGAGCTTCAACATTTCTGGAAATTTTACATCTCTAGTTCAGACTGCTTATTCTTGAGGAAGGGGTGGTGGTTCAGTGCACGTAAATCTGG